TCAGCATTCCCAGCACTTCCCATCTGTCTGCACAGTCCCACGCCAACCCCGGGAAGAACCCTCACCCCTGTAGTGACCAGGACAGGCTCCCAGCCCTCCAGCCCTGACCCTAGACAGGAATCTCCCACCAGTCCATCCCTGGACTCCTACCTCCAGTAGGACAGCACTGTCACAGCAGCACCAGGAGAAAGGATTTGGGGATGGCTGCTGGAACCACTGGCTCTGCTTCAGCTTCAGCTTCAGCCCTGGTGCCTGGGTGCAGCCCTTGGCCCAGAGACCACATCCCATGGTCAGAGCCTCCCCTCACAATCTCCCCACATCAGTGACAGCTTCCCCTCACATGTCCCAGGGACAGAGACCTTATCAGGACGAGGTGCCCACATCACCCCCTTCCTCTCCTCCCTCCAGTTCTTCATGAGGAGCTGCTGATCTGTTATGATCCTATTAATGCAGGCACGTAGACTTTTGAATTTTAAACATCATTTACTGGATCTAAAACAATAAAAAGGAAACGACAGCACAGATAATATTATGTCCCTTTGGATGCTGGGAATCCTGTGTCAAAATCCTCCTCTGGTCAGGGCAGATCCTGTCCGTGGAAGGGGTACTCCACTATGATCTGTTCAGCTATTACAGCATTTTCTAAACCACTCAGAAATTCCAGACCTCATTAGATACCAACAGAGCCCCTGAGCAGCAGCCATGGGGATGAGCACTGTCCTTGTGTCCAGTTGCTGTGGGAAATCACCAGTGCCCAGACATGGGACTGCACGAAGGCTTTGCCCTCAGCCTCTAATCCCATCCTGTCTAATCCCAATCATCAGCCTAATCACCCCTGCTGGGCATGTGTCTCCTCAGAGATTAGGTTTGTGGGGTACATGGTGCTGCCAAAGCGCTCTTATCTCCAAGTGGCTCCTGCCACAACCTCAGCCTTCCACAGCAAGGGGACTGGCATTTTATTTCTTATTTTCTGCCCCTTTTTCATGTGTTCTCCATCTCCTTGGGGTTGTATACTGTGCTTGTCGTCCCCAGGACTGATGGTCCATGTGCTCTCCAGGGTGTCCAGCCTGGAGCTGCAGGATTTGGAGCTAGAGAAAGACTTGAAACAAGGAGAAACTTAGGCTCAGCATCCATCCACAAGAGGGAGATGGAAAAAGGTGCAACTCCTGAAGTTTCTCCCAGAAGGAAGTTGGAAGAAGTCTTTGAGGACGAGTTCCATGTCACTAGAGGCACTGAGCAATTTGTGCTGTTGTATGTCTGCACATGAGTGACTTCTCACTCCTGAAGGTCTCTGCCTCATCTCTCTCACCCCTCTGCCATCCTCCATCCCTGGGAATGATTTATATCCCCTTCTGCATTGATGAGTGGAGCACCGGGCACACGCAGTGAAAGCCAAAAGCCCCTTGCATGGTGGGATGATATTGGAGAGTGGCAGAGGAAGGGGGTGATGTGGGCACCTCGTCCTGATAAGGTCTCTGTCCCTGGGACATGTGAGGGGAAGCTGTCACTGATGTGGGGAGATTGTGAGGGGAGGCTCTGACCATGGGATGCGATCTCTGGGCCAAGGGCTGCACCCAGGCACCAGGGCTGAAGCTGAAGCTGAAGCAGAACCAGTGGTTCCAGCAGCCATCCCCAAATCCTTTCTCCTGGTGCTGCTGTGACAGCGCTGTTCCTACTGGAGGTAGGAGTCCAGGGATGGACTGCTGGGAGATTCCTGTCTAGGGTCAGGGCTGGAGGGCTGGGAGCCTGTCCTGGTCACTACAGGGGTGAGGG